TTCCCTCAGCTTTAACTTTCCATTCTTTTTTTTTTTTTTTTTTTGAGACACAGTCTCACTCTGTTGCCCAGGTTAGAGTGCCATGGTGTCAGCCTAGCTCACAGCAACCTCAAACTCCTGGGCTCAAGCAATCCTCCTGCCTCAGCTTCCCAAGTAGCTGGGACTACAAGTGTGTACCCAGCTAAATTTTTTGATTTTTAGTAGAGATCGGGTCTCGCTCTAGCCCAGGCTGGTCTCAAACTCCTGACCTCAAGAGAGCCTACCACCTCAGTCTCCCAGAGTGCTAGGATTACAGGTGTCAGCCACCATGGCCAACCAACTTTCTGTTCTTGATGATAAGAAGATAAAAACTCTGCTATAGAAAGGACAGCTTTCACACGGGAATTCTATCTTACTTCTAACTCACTTATTTTCAACAATTATGCTTAGATTGCTTATAAAAATGAGACATTAAACAGCTAGCCATCATCTTAAGTCACTTTTCTTGCTAACAAATTTTGTAATATAGAGATAAAATAAGTTTATTTTATTAGTAAACCTAGGTACAAAAAGTTGTACATCTGTTATTATATTTAATACTGAAAACTCTGAGGATGTGTATATTTTAATCAAATCGATGATATTCTTATTTATCAAGGATTGCCCAAGTCACATGAACTTGAAAAGCATTTGGGTTAGTTCTTATTTTTCTAAAAGAATATTTCATATGTATAAGCATTTATTTTCTAAAACCAATTAAATAGAACTCTTTTACAATTTAATTTGGCAATATCATAAGTAGATACAAAAATCACACATATATATCATACACACAGACATATATAAACATATAGACAAAAATATATTGTAGCTTCCATCCTAAAATTTTACCCATGTGCCCAGTGCAATAATATAAGCTCACCAATTTACCAAAGAATATCTGGATTCAAAGTGTTTTTCCGGCCAATGAAACAAGATTTCCTGCCCAAATGGCTAAAGCTTCTGACTAATATTTGTGAAAAAGACTTTTAAGAATTTTTCGTTTGCCATCTATGAGTAACCTTTCAAAGAGGCAATCTTTCATTCATTTAGATGCCTCTGCATACCAATTAAAGAATGCAACCCATTGCTTTTATGGTGTTTTAGATCCTTTTTTTTTTTCTAATGCACATTTCAAGTGAACAATTTTATACAGGTTAAGACTCCCCCACCGTGGCTGCTAGAATTTAATTCATTTTCCCAAAAATAAACAGGTTCTGGGACGGTAATTTTAGTAAATGAAGTTAGCTGTAGTCCCAGAAAGTGGAGTCCTAGACTTCTTAGATTTGGAGGAACCCATTTTTTAAAAGGTACCTACTTAAGGCCTCTAACTAGATCCATTCCAGTTAATTATTGAATACAATTTGATCCTGGACCCAGGCCAGTAAAAAGTGCTCAAATAAAGTTGAAGAGTTCAAAACACAAATCGATGGAGCTCAAATCCAATAGTGCCTGGCGAGTACCTTTACTTGGTCACTTGATGCCCCTGGGGATTGCTGGAGGTCTACTTTGGGTACTACTTCTGATGCAACTACATTAAAAGAAAAATTTAATTTGTTTAGACAAATTAAATTTAGCAGAGCTTATTTGAGCAAAGAAACAATTCATAAACCAGGAAGCACTCTAAACTGCTAGAGGTGCAGACAGCTCCACCAGCAACACAGAAAGGCAATACTTAGAGACAGAAAAAGGAAGTAACAAACAGAAACGGCTTGATTGGTTACAGTTAATCATTTGCCTTATTTGGAATGTCTGAGCAGTTTGCAGCCTATGATTAGCTGAAAGCCCAGCTACTATAATTGGCTGAGACTCAGTTACTTGTTACAAAGATACACTCTCAAGCTAGGTTGCAGTTTGTTTGCATATTAGATTAGGATATAGTTTGGTCTGCACAGAGGCAGCATTAGGCTAAATTTAATTGAATTTAACAATACAATAATAGGAATTATGCTTTGGAAGCAAAGGGTCATTACAAGTCACTGGATTGCTTTAGTTCTGGAAGGGACTGAACAGGATGCTCTCGGATAAGAAAACAGAGGCAGTACCCAGGATCACATGACCAGTCAGAACTTCTTTATATCAGCTGCTGTTCTTTCCACTACAAGTCCAAACAAACCATTGTGAGGATGGCCTGCTCTACTGTTGCGGATGATAAGTGTATACCTAAAACTCATATTTTCATACTTAGATGTCCATCTGTGTATGCTACATATTCTGGGAAAGGGATTTTAATTATAACTAATAGAAAGAGTTTTATTATTAGATATCCCTACATTTTGTGCTGCTGGCCACTTGTGGTGACAAGAGTGACTTTATTTTTAAATGCTAATCCGCCTGACTAACCCCAAGTCCAGAGATACCTCCAAAATGTCTACTTGAGGTATTACTCTTTATGTAGGGAAACCTATTCACTAAGAGTTTCACCTTTCCTTCAAAACAACCCTTCATGCTGGTGCCCTGTGATGGCCGGCAGCATTCCTTCCAGAGCATGCATACTTTTTCTCCCAGGGTTTGCAGTATAGTCTGCAAACAGTCTACCTGTCTTACAGCTGCCCAAGACCATGCTTCTGTCCGTAAGTGCCCCTAATAATTTATCCTATACTAATAAACTGGATTTGTCTGCCTCATTCTTGGGTTTCTCCGCTCCTTTGGCATTTGGGGTCGCTGTGCATATACCAACCCTTCACAGAACACTAGTAGAAAAGAATTGATTGTTAGAGAGCATCACTTTCTCTTGACATTGAGCTATTTCAAATTTTAGCCACCTAAGTAACCTGGATAAAATACTGAAAGCCACTAGATGTAATAAACAATTCAATTTTATTTAATTATATTTCATTCTAACAACTTACTTTATGCATCAGGAATCTGAGACTCAAGAGTAAACAACTTTCCCAAGTTATTGTGGCTTATAAGTGGGCCCAGTGGGTTTTACTCCCAGGACTGTCTGACCCTCACCCTTGTGCTAACAATGGTATACAAGATGATGAAATCCTTTTTTAAAATCAGGTATTATCTCTGCATTTTCCAGTGTCTGTTTTATGTTCAAGATAAACTATTAATCAGTTTTGTTCCCTCTCTAGATACCAAAAGAAATGATCCCAGCAGTACTAAAACGTTGATCAACTGTAAGTCGTCAAAGAAAATTTAAAAATTATATCAATTTGTTTGCGTTAATAACATAATATAAAATTGTATTAATATCTGCATTAATGAGTACTATAATTATGTATGCATTAAAGTATCTGCATAATAACAGGAACTGCATTTGTTTGGAAAAAAAATATTCTCACAAGTATCTGCAAGAAAAAGGAAAGACTTTGAGGGACCTGGTTTGGGGCAGAACTGGATTCTTTAGGATAAAAGAGAGAAATGTTCAAGTTATTTAAAAGAGGAAGAAAGGAAAGAAAATAAGAAAAAGAAAGAGTAGAGCCAGTGGGATAGCAAAATCCTGGGTATGGTGCAACACGACTCTCTCTGTGGCCCCTCAAACATGCAGAAAAGTTAGTAAACACAAAAAATATTTAGTAGAAGTGGACTTTTGCAGGATAGAGAAGGAGCTAAGCTCTGTACTTAGATTGGTATGGGACAAAACAACAGCACAGTCAGAAGCCAGTGCAGACATAGAGAAAACCATGAAGTAAGCAGGAGTATTGGGGCGAACTGTGAAATTGAGGGCATGTGCCAGGAACAGGGAGATCCCAGCTTCTGTGCAAGTCACATATATTTCTAATAAGTTCTCAGGTTGCCTGAGCCTTAGAAAAGTTTCTTACAAGGGTCTATGTATCACATAAAAGACCAGCTTGGAGTCCTCATTCTTAGAAGATTCATAACATCTTGGAAAAACCTGGATATCCTCTGTAAGCAAGGACATATAGCCAGCAGTTTATTCATTTATTAAACATGTATTAAGCACCTACTACATACCAGGCATTGTGCTATGTCTGGGGATATCAAGATGGATGAGAAAAAAACAAATGCAGACTTTTGAGGTTTAGTTAATCGAGTTCTATAGCATTTATAAAGAACTTCTACTAATATTATTTCACCTGATCTCCACCACAACCATATGTGCTAGGCAAAGCAAGGATGGTTATCCCATTCTACAGATAAGAATATTGAGGAGCACTGATTCCTTGTCAATGTCCTTTCAGCTTCAGCCCACTATACTAGTCTGTGACTCCACGTAAACATTTCTCATGAATTACAAACTCCTTAGGCAGACACAAGACAGAATTCTAAGTGATATAATAGTTTCCAATTCACAGTTTCAGGCTTTCTCACAAAATTCTTATCAAGCTATAAAGACATTTAAGGAAACTCTAAAAGGAAGTGTCTGTATTTGCTCCGATTCTCAGATGGTAGAGATATGAGTCATTGAGTCACCACCACCGGCATAGAGAAGACCCATTTCAAGGACAGCAACTGGCCTTGAGTAGGGTTGGTGCTTCCTCCACCTCCCCTTTCAGTGCTTTCATTCTGCAGGTGTGTTCTCACAAAGAGAAAAAGAACTGCCTCAGTGTGTAAGGGACTTAGGGAATGACCTCCCCTTAGGAACATGAACACTTAAAGAAAAAAATACTGTAGAGACAGACACCTGCAGAGAAGACCTATGTGGGCAGGGAGCCTCTTCATGCTTTGGGGAGCCCCGAGGGTGTTGAGAGGTAGGGAGCTGTGTTAGTCTTAACTTTGATTTTTGCAGGGAGAAAGAAAAAAATTGCACTGAGTAGATCCAATTTACAGCTGGCACTAACACTAAGTAAATTCTGTGCTCGCTTTCAGCTCTAAATTCCACAGCTCTGAATCTGAATCAGAGCAGGGAAAGGAAGGAAGAGAGGATAGATTTAAGATGATGATTTAGAGATACAAGCAAGGAGTTAAGAAACGTCCCTCTGCTGCCTCATCAGTCAGTAGAGTCTAGGGGTGATGCATTAACAACCAATCCCTAAATCTCAATACCTTGAAATAAAACAAAGACTATTTCTCTTTCATGTGTGTATCCATTAGGAGGAGGCTTGCTTATCACAGTCACTTGGTAACCAGGCTAATGGAACAACCAACCACCTTGAAGACTGAAGGAAAAGAAAGTTCTGTAGGATCTTGTGCTGGCAATTAAATCCTCCGGCCCAGGAAGGACCCATGTTACTCTGGCTCACAGTTCTACAACCAGAACTAGTCACATATTCCCAACCAACCACTAGAGGGCCAAGAAGTATAGTGCAATCCTACCACGTTCCCAGAAGGCAGAAAGTCCAGCGTGTTTTCTAGAGAGCATTATTGTTTGTCCATCTGGCTTTCTGAGGTCTAGGTCCACTTGCATAAGGAGACTAGGTATCTTTCCTCATCCCAGAGTCTGCAGTGCAATTAATTAATAATAAGCCCTGAAAATAGATGAAAATGGAGGTGACGCTGAAGGCCAGTCTTCTCATTTTTAATTACAAGTCTCTTACTAATTATGGAAAACGAAGTGATAAAGTGACCACATTATACTCAACTAACACGTTAAAGTCCTTTGATTCCCCTTATGTCAGCAGCATGCCTGGTAAGGCCCTGGGGACACCCTTGAAGTGTGCCATGTACACATCAAGGTAAGTGCTTAAGTGCTGTGCTTTTGGGGAACACTAATGGTGGCCCCAACTCTGAAGTCATCTCTGACTCAATATCAAACATATTTTGATTTTTAAAAACACATTTGAACTAATAGTAGCCTTAAAGGCTTACTTTCTGGGTAAAATTAAGTTTGAAATCATCCAAATATTATCATCTTCATAGCTGCAGGAAGGCAGCTGAACTTTGTAGGGCTAACAATGCTGTCTGTGTGCACAGGTTTTAATAAGCTAGAATAAGGCAAGGGGTGAGCCCCACGAGCGAGCAACAACTCAGTGACACACAAGGCCCTCCAAATGCAGAGCCAAAGGGTGTGGTTGTACCATGTTGAAAATCAAGGGAAAAGATTCAATCTTTCAGAACCCTCTCCCTGCTTCAGTCCATGAACCTCTCTTGGCGTGTACTCTCTGTGCCTGTGGGAGTCATTTCAATATGATGAATCAATAATCAAGACGCTGCATCATCATCATCACAATCATACATAACTTCTACTATGAACAAGACCCTCAAAATAGACTATCTCGTCTAATCCCCATCACGACTCTCTGAGGCAGGTATTATTATGTCTATTTTAAATTGAGGAAACTGAAGTTGAAAAGTTATATAATTTTTCCAAGATTACTCTGATAATAACTGACGAACACAATATTTGAACCCAAGACTTGTGACTCCAAAGGCCATGCTCCTTCCATATATCCACCTTGTATTTTCTAAGTGCCAGAGCAATCATCTGCACTTAAAAAGGCTTTACAAATTGAATGCACTAATGTGGGTGATGTGTGAGTCTTAAAAAATAATAATAATTTTCTCTAAAGGTGAAATGGATCAAAAACCCTTAAAAGTGAGTCTTTGATGTAGCAGCTGTTAACATGATTGTCTTATTTTATTCTCACCCCTTGGAAGAGTGAAACTGATGAACAATGAGGATGCTGTTGTAACTCCCTATCTCTATTTGCAGTCTGCAGGCAGAATACTGAGTCTAAAGTGCACACGGACAGACAGCGTTTCTCTTAGCATTTCGCTGTTGCAATTAATCAGCAAGTTAAAGTATAAACAACAGCTAATTCTACATGACATCCCTTATCTCTTAGACCGGGTTCATGTGGTGTGCTGGGGACTCCCAGGACAGTCCTGGCTCACGCTGATGCCTTTTGATTTCTGCTTGCTCCAGAGTCCTAACTGTGTGACAGGGCCATCGGCACCAGGAGTTACAAGTACATAAAGTAAGTAACCGGATATTATATCTGATTCCTTTGGATGAGCAAGGTGGGCCTGGGTTTTTCCTCTTTTGTTATTGTGATTCAGGCACCTAATCACCTAATCAGAAAGCAGCTAGCTCCTTCTGCCTGACCCAGGAGGAGCTTTAAAGCTACCCCCTGCCCCAAGGTGCAGTACCAGTAAATGTTGGATATTTGTAATGGGGCGATATAGTCAAATATTCCCACCTTACATTGGTAGGTATTCTGCTGGGTAGATTATTAAGTGGTTGAATGAAAGGGGGAAACTTGGATTTCTAATGCAAAAGGAAATCCATTGTTTTTCTCAAGTGCTTCTATCAGTAGCTTCTAACGTGGTCTGAGACAATGGTTCAGGGGTGTTGACTAGGAAATGCTGGTAGTTGGTACAAGTACGGAGTGAGAGGTAAGCCCCTATTTGGACTTTGATTAAGTTGTTCCGGTATGTTATCCTTTGTTGTTGTTGTTGTTGTTGTTAAAAGTGTTTCATGCTCCATTCAATGTACATGTCAATATTCTTGATTTTCATCCCATTGACAGGTCTTTTTTTACTAATTCCACTCCCAACTAAATTCACAAGATTATAAATATCAAGTGTTTTGAAAATCAGTTTTAGCTATTCAATTCAATGCCATCTGTTTTACAGATGGAGAAACTGAGTCTCAGCCCTATTTTCTTTCTTTTTTTTTTTTTTTAAGAGAGACAGGATTTCTTTGTTGCCCAGGCTGCAGTGCAGTGGCTCACTGTCGCCTCTAACTCCTGGGCTCAAATAATCTTCCCACCTCAGCCTTCAGACTACGTGGGACTACAGGCACATACCACCACTCTCAGCTAATTTTTTAAAAAATGTTTGTAGAGATAGGATCTCACTATGTTGCCCAGGCTGGTCTCAAACTCCTAAGTTTAAGAGATCCTCCTGCCTCACCTTACTGAGCAGCTGAGATTACATGCATGAGCCACTGCACATAGCCCTTGGTTATTTCTTAGAGTCTTCTGTCCTAGAAACCTTGCCATGACCTTATAACTGGCACAGTTAGAGCCTGGCATACTTAGAGCCTGGCAGAATTTTTGTTACCTGGTGGTTCTGGTTAAGAATGGGCTTGAGGAAATGGGGAGCTGCTGTCAGAGGATAGAAATCCCAGAGCATCGTGGCATAGAGGAGCTGAGCTCCGTGCTTAGATTGGTGTGGGGCAAAACAACAGCAGCACAGGCAGAGGCCGATGCAGACATAGAAAAGACCATGAAGAAGCAGGGAGAAGTCATGGGGAAAGCTGTGAGATTGGGGGCATGTGCCTGGGGACGGGAGACCCACTGCTATCCAGCCAAGTTTCTTACCAGCTTGTGCTCCTCTGTCCCCAGGGACTGAGTGGGCATCTTCACCCACCCCCAGTTCCCATCCAGCTGAATCTACTATCTGATTAACTTCTGAAATGCCACAGCACAGTTGAGAATATGGTATCATTGTGCAGTCTGTATCAACGAGTATTCCGAAGCATTTTCACGTGCTTAAGTGTATATGTGTCTGTCTGTCTGTCTGTCTGTCTCAGAGGGGCAAGAAGGGAGGGAGGGGGCTGGGAAATGCATAAATAAAGGGCTGCATGTAAGTTGATGGAACCAGTGACGATGCCTTCCTGGTAAATGCATAGGTGAGCCACAGTGAAGACAGGTAAACATTGGCTAATCAGTACTGTGCTGGGCTCAAACATAAGAGCTTGCATTTTCCTGAAAATAAGGGATAATGTCTCCAGGTCAATAAAAAATACCCAGAAAGTAAGATTCTTGCCCAAAGGTTTCCAAGCTATCTAGGTGCAAGGTTCCCTTATTGACCCCAGGCCATAGCTACTCTTAAGTAGTCAGGCCCACACAGCTTTTAATAAATATTTATGTTGGCATAACTTTGTGGTTGTTTGCACAAATAATATACAAATGGAAAAAAATAGTAATATTTTTATTTCATTCTCAATCATAATTACTTAATAATGGGGTTTATGTGCCTGCTGAGTACTGCATATCTTCTCAATGCTAGGAATCAGATTGGGCATGACCCCTTCACTTTCTGTCCCACCTCAGTTTTCCTGCAGTCCTTGCTTTTTGTCATGGCAATTGCCAGACACCTAACTTTGCAAAGATATGATGTTATCAAATGGAACACAGCCTTATACAATATTAAAACTGTTAACTACCTTGAACTAATACTTAGCGTGGTGTTCAATGGACATTGAGAATCACTGTGCTGTCCTCAAAAATCTAAAATAACTCAGGCCACCTCTGCATAGTTTGGGAAAGACTGTCCTAGCCTCCTGTTCTGACCCTTCATGGTATATTATCCCAATAAACTAAAGTGGACATTCAATCTGACTTAGTAAATTACATATTTGCATTTTACTTCTTTGAAGTAGAGAAAGCAGTATAAAATTCCCAGGAAAAGCATAGTAGTCTCTAACCTTGTGGTTACAAATTGGTAACTTTTGTTACCTAGTAATTTTATGTTGCTTAAGTTATCTACATTTTTAATTCACTTTCACACACTGACATCTACCTTCCCAATATAGTCATATTTTCCTAATTCTTATTACCTATTTCTTTCATATTTAGTCAACTTTGATGAGTCTTTCTTCATTAAAATAATATTTCTTCAAAATATTCCAACAAAGGAACAGCCAAGTTTTTGTTGAATATCTACATAAGGAGCAAGAACATTTTAAATGTTTCTGCATTTGCTTGTGAAATAGCATTCCAATAATCAGTGGCATTAGTGTACTTTTCACTCTAATAAAATTTTCTATCATATTATCAGTCACTCTGCCTAAATGTAAAACAGTCACTGACTAAAAACTTATTTTTACTTAAAAGAAGGGTAGGGGACAAAACTTTTTCTACAAAAGCACACTTACATTTTTTAAATCATTTTGGTTTCATACAATTATCAGTACTTGGAGGAGAGGTTAGAAGCATTAATTTGTATCTGACAGTGAAGGCAGTATTCACATTGGGAGCCTCTGTGCTCACATTTTCTCCTGTTTGCTTTTCCCAATGTGGAAAACAACTCAGATGAGACGATGGTGATATACCGAGCAGATTTGAACCAAAATATTAAAGAAAGAAACAAAAAACTGTTCAAGGTGACTTTGAAACCTATTCTGTGCCCTTATTTTTTATTTTTCTCTCTTTCCCTTTCTCATCATCATTCTTATATTTCCTTCACTTTCTAAAAGACAACTTTTTTTTTTTTTTTTTACAGAGGCTCACTCTGTTGCCTGGGCTAGAGTGTCATGGCATCAACCTAGCTCACAGCAACCTCAAACTCCTGGGCTCAAGCGATCCTCCTGCCTCAGCCTCCCAAGTAGCTGGGACTACAGGCATGCGCCACCATGCCCGGCTAATTTTTTCTATATATGTTTTTAGTTGGCCAACTAATTTCTTTCTATATTTTCAGTAGAGACGAGGGTCACACTCTTGCTCAGGCTGGTCTGGAACTCCTGAGCTTAAACGATCTGCTCGCCTCAGGCTCCCAGAGTGCTAGGATTACAGGCATGAGCCACCACGCCTGGCCTAAAAGACAACTTTTAAATATACATTTCTAGTTTTCCCCAATGACTCTAATTCCAAATATTCTGTAACTTTGTCTTCATAAACCCCAAATTGTCAAGGCAGATATCCACAAAGATATCAAATTAAAGAAAAATCTCCTAAAGCTATGAAAATAATATAGCAATATCTATTGAAGGGCCTAGCATGTCCCAAATACTGTGGTAAATGCTTTTTATACATTTTTTTTTTTTTTACTTTTACCACAAACCTTGGAGACCAATTATACATGTAGCTTCATATGCGGGAGAAGGAAACTGAGACATGAAAACACTAAATCACTTGCTTTAAGTCATACTGCTGGTGATTAGCCAACACTGAACTTTAAACCCAGGTCTCTGACTCCCTACCTGTCCCATGGAAAACCCAGGGAGACCTGTTGCTCAGAGAAGCCTAACTGCCTCTGGCCCACACCGAGTGACAGTGGCGGCCTGGGGAGACTTCTGTTCATTGTACATTTGATAAGAGGCCATTTGAGGAAGGAATATTTAACTCAGGATATTAACTTCCAGCAAATTTTTGCTCAATTAATTTTTTTTAATTGAAACAGATATAAGGTAATGAATGAATTCATTTTACCCATGAGAAAATCAACTCAAATATTTGTGCAACAACTATTATGGACCACGCACATTGCTAGGAAAAAAATAAGAGATAAGCCAAAGAAAATGCCCTACTTTGGGAAAACATATAGCCTTAAGCAGAGAGAAGACTAACTGATATGATCAGAGTTCATCATCGATATAACGCAGTCCTTTCTTGTGGTGAACACACTGTAGTTCCTCCAGGAGTCAAGATAAAGGCAAAGTAAGGAAAGGGCGGAGCAAGATGGCTGAAGAGAAGCCTCCAGCAATCGTCCCTCTGCACAAACACCTGATACAACAATTATCCACCCAAGCAAGCATTTTCAGAAGAACCAAAAATCAAGTGAGGGATCATACCACCTGGTTTTAACATGATATGAAGGACAGAGGCACAGAAGAGAGTAGAAAAGACAGTCTTGCATTGCCCCTGCCACCCCGTCCCCATCCCCCAGCAGGGCTGTGCCCGTGTGCCAAGTGGAGAGAGAATCTCTGTGCCTGGGAGAGAGAGAGGGGAGGTGATTGTGGGGCTTTGCACTGGAACTCAAGGCCACCTGGCCCACGGAAACACACCACAGGGCAACACAGCGCAAGGCAGAATTCTGCCAGTGCCATGGAGAGAGAATTTTGACTGGGCCCACCACCGGGAAATCCTGCACCCCCAAAACCTAAGTTCCCTCTCGCCCCACCACTGGCTGACAAAAAGCAGCCTGGGGCCTGGACTAAACTCGTAAGACGGTCTGGCCACAAAGATTGCAGCGGTTAGGCAATTCCTGTGGCTGTGCTGACTCTGAGCCAGTGGAGCTGGGGTGCACATAA